TGTTACCCAGGCTGGAGTGCAATGGCGCGATCTCGGCTCACCGCAACCTCCGCCTCCTGGGTTCAGGCAATTCTCCTGCCTCAGCCTCCTGAGTAGCTGGGATTACAGGCACGTGCCACCATGCCCAGCTAATTTTTTGTATCTTTAGTAGAGACGGGGTTTCACCATTTTGACCAGGATGGTCTCGATCTCTTGACCTCGTGATCCACCCGCCTCAGCCTCCCAAAGAGCTGGGATTACAGGCTTGAGCCACCGCGCCCGGCAGTTTAAGAACTATTGACGTTGGCCAGGCACATTGACTCATGCCTGTAATTCCAGCACTTTTGGAGGCTGAAACAGGTGGATCACCCGAGGTCAGGAGTTCAAGACCAGCCTGGCCAACATGGTGAAACCCCAGCTCTACTAAAAATACAAAAATTAATCGAGCATAGTGGTACATGCCTATAATCTCAGCTACTTGAGAGGCTGAGGCAGGAAAATCACCTGAACCTGGGAGTCAAGAGTTTTACATTGAGCCACTCCAGCCTGGGCAACAGAGCAAGACTCTGTCTCAAAAAAAAAAAAAAAAAAAAAAAAAAAGGAGAGAGAAAAGAACTGTTGATATAAAGAAAAAGAAATAGAGAATTATTGATGGAGGAGTGTCCAAGTGTTAGATCAGACAATGGTAATGACACAGAAGATGAAGAAAGTGGTTTATTTTTGTTTTAGTTTTGAGACAGGGTCTGGCTCTGTTGCCCAGGACTGGAGCACAGTGTTGCAATTACAGCTCACTGCAACCTCTGCCTCCTGGGCTCAAGCCGTCCTCCCACCTCAGCCTCCTGAGTAGCTGGGACCTCAGGCACACACCACCAAATGCAGTTAATTTTTTAAATCTTTTTTTTTAGAGATGGGGTTTTGCCATGTTGTCCAGGTTGGTCTTGAACTCCTGAATTCAAGAGATGTGCCTGCCTTGGCCTCTCAAAGTGCTGGGATTACAGACATGAGCTGCCACACCCCACTTGCATTAGCTGTTTCTAGGAAGTGACAGGTTGGAACAGAGGCTATATTCCTATCTATCCTGTTCTTGGGTCAGCTAAACTCTTTTTTATATATATTTTGTACTAATTTGTTTGTCATAAGACTTCTTTGCAACAGGGCTAGCACAACTGTTGACTTTGTCCGCTTTTATCACTAGCCCTTTGGCCTCAGCACTGCTACCAATTCCTTCCCTTTTGTGGAATTGAGCCCTGGGCCCACTGACCCCAATGCAGTGTATCAGATTATTTTCAACATCTTACCTGGATTTCTTTTACTTTTTCCTGACGCAATGAGATCAAAACCAAACAGCTGTAGTCTTGACAAGCTACTTTAGTAATCACCTAGGTATACTATATTTTCCTCTAGAAAATCTCTCTCTCTCTGTCTCTCTCTCTCTCTCTCTCTCTCTATATATATATATATTTATGTATGTATATATGTGTGTGTGTGTGTGTGTGTGTGTGTGTGTGTGTGTATATATATATATATATATATATAGAGAGAGAGAGAGAGAGAGAGAGAGAGAGAGAGATTTCTAGAGGAAAATATAGGTATTTATATATTTTTTGAGACAGAGTCTCACTCCATCGCCAGGCACCAGGCTGGAGTACAGTGGCATGATCTCGGTTCACTGCAACTTCTACCTCCTGGGTTCAAGCAATTCTCCTGCCTCAGCCTCCCGAGTAGCTGGGACTACAGGCGCACACCACCACGCCCAGCTAATTTTTGTATTTCTAGTAAAGATGGGGGTTTCACCATGTTGGCCAGGATGGTCTCGATCTCTTGACCTCGTGATCCGCCCGCCTCGGCCTCCCAAAGTGCTGGGATTACAGGCATGAGCCACCGAGCCTGGCCTATATATATTTTTCATTTATTTTATTTTTTTGAGACAGGGTCTTCGTCTGTCACCCAGGCTCACTGCAACCTTAGCATCCCAGTAGCTGGGACTACAGGCACACGCTACCACACCCGGCTAATTTTAGTAGAAATGTTGCAGTCTCACCAATGTACCTTAATATTAACAGTTTAACTTGTGAGGTATCACCCTGAGTTCTTTGTCTCACCTCCAACATGATAAAGGAGCGTGGTCACAAGGACAAAGTTGGTGCGAAGGTTTAATAAGCGAAAGGAGAAAGTTCTCCACAGAGAGGGGAGTCCAAGTGGATTGCTTGGTTACAGCTGAATGCAAAATACTTTTATAAGAAACTGCTCTCCTCCTTGTAACTGTTTGAGTAACTTTTCTTACCAGTATAAAGCTGTCTTTGAAACTCCTGTTTCCAGCTGTAGGATTGTTTCTAAGCACAAAGTGCAGCTTCTCCTGTTTGTATAACTGTTTGTTTTAGGTAAGTCCCCCTTCTTCCTGTGCAATTTCCCACGGCCCCCACTGTGTATATGCCTGAAAAGGGGAGGAAACTATACACAGGTTAGTGAGCTCCTGGGAGCTCACTAATTATACGAAGATCAAAAAGGCTTCTTTTTTTGTTTGTTTGTTTTTTGAGACAGTCTCGCTCTGTTGTCCAGGCTGGAGTGCAGTGGTGCAATCTCGGTTCACTGCAACCTCTGCCTCTCGGGTTCAAGCAATTCTCCTGCCTCATCCTCCGGAGTAGCTGGGACTACAGACCCATGCCACCATGCCCAGCTATTTTTTGTATTTTTAGTAAAGATGCAATATCACCACGTTAGCCAGGATAGTCTCAATCTCCGGACCTCGTGATTGGCCTGCCTCAGCCTCCCAAAGTGCTGGGATTGCAAGCATGAGCCACCCGACCAATCAGAAAAAGGCTTCTTTGCTTTACTGCCTCCTCACCTGTTCAGGTTTTCCTGTGCAGCAGCAGCAGCTGCTGTGATTTTTCAGGCAAGAAGTTCTAGAGGCCTGGCCTTAACTGTTTACCTAATGGATTTTTCCTTTTCTTCTCCCTCAGAGATGGGGTTTCATCATGTTGCACAGGCTGGTCTTGAACCCCTGAGCTCAGGCAGTCGTTCACCTTGGCCTCCCAAAGTGCTGGGATTACAGGCATAAGTCACCGCACCCAGCCATTTTTATTTCTGAAAATAGAATTCTCTAATATACTTGAATAAAAAAATCTATATTTCATTTATTAGAAATTAGTTAACCTCAGGCCGGGTGCGGTGGCTCACGCCTATAATCCCACCACTTTGGGAGGCCAAGGTGGGTGGATCACGAGGTCAAGAGATCGAGACCATCCTGGTCAATATGGTGAAACCCCATCTCTACTAAAAATACAAAAAATTAGCTGGGCGTGGTGGCGCGTGCCTGTAATCCCAGCTACTCAGGAGGCTGTTTGAGGCAGGAGAATTGCTATGAGCAATTCTCAGGAGGCGGAGGTTGCTATGAGCCGAGATCGCACCATTGCACCCCAGCCTGGGTAACAAGAGCGAAACGCCATCTCAAAAAAAAAAAAAAAAAAAAATAGAAATTTGTTAACCTCGTATCATGGGTCAGACACTGTGCTAGGCACTTGTTATTTCAAATTAAATAAGACATGGCTATGTCAAGGAGCTGGGAAAAAAACTGATACCTGTATACGCATACACATCCCTGTCTAGCTTTTTTCTCTTGATAAATGCATAGACTTCTAAAATATCTAAATCTGAATCCAACTTCTTTGTGTGAAAAAGAAGGCCAAATCAGTCTCTCTGGTTGAGACTATAATTAACGGGGTCTTTTAATGTATACTTTATGCAGCCGAGATGTTCCCTTTCTTTTTCACAATGCCTCTATAATTAAAATGCAGATTTTCCCCCCAAAGGAGAGTGTGTTTTTCTGTGGTCTTAATCTGGATTCATAGATCTCAGCAAATCTATGGATTCGTGTCTTTGTGGTCCTTAAACATTCCATGATTATATGCAAAATTGTGGAATTTGGTATACATGAGTGCTTTTCATATTTATTTTTAATCCAGAATGGATCAAAAACAACAGTCATGAAGGATGTAGGTGCCAGACACAGGGCAGAAGGTAGCAGAAAACTAGATCTGAGGGAATTTAGGGCCCCTAGCCTCATTAATCTACAAACATGGCACAAGCGGCTTACCTTGCAAGGCCTCAGTTCAAGCACCCTCTCAATTTCTTAAAATAGAAAGAGTTCTTAATTTTTATCAAATTCTCAAAGGATTCTGTTACCCCAAAATATTAAGAATTATTGTACTATTAAAACATTTGTTAGAGACAAGTACAGGCAACATAGACATTGTCGCTACTAAAAATTTAAAAAAATATATATATAGGGGTGTGGGGCCAGGCACAGTGGCTCACACCTGAAATCGCAGCACTTTGGGAGGCCAAGGTGGGTGGATCACCTGAGGCTGGGAGTTTGAGACCAACCTGGCCAACATGGTGAAACCCTACCTCTACTAAAAATGCAAAAATTAGCTGGGCGTGGTGGCATATGCCTGTAATCCCAGCTACTAGGGAGGCTGAGGCAGGAGAATTGGTTAACCTGGGAGTCAGAGGTTGCAGTGAGCCAAGATTGTGCTGCTGCACTCCAGCCTTGGTGACAGATCAAGACTCCTTCTCCAAAAAAAAAAAAAAAAATGTTAGAGACCAGCCCAGGCAACATAGTGCCTCTACTAAAAATAAATATTAAAAAGTAGGGGTGTGGTAGCACACACCTGTAGTTGCTGTTACCTACTCAGGAGGCTGAGGTTGGAGGATCCCTTGAGCCTGGAAGGTTGAGGCTGCAGTGAACTATGATTTTGCCACCACACTCCAGCCTGGGTGATAGAGCAAGACCCTGTCTCAAAAAACAAAAACAACACAAACTGATTAGGTTTTGGTTTATGACTATTTAACATCATTTACTTTTTAGATGTTTTCACTAAAGTTTGTTTTAAGAAACCTGCAAATCAATATCAATACAATTTTTATATGAATACAATATTTGAAGCTTACACTTAAACATTAAAATTTGTTTTTACTTTTAACAATATTGTGATCATGCTACTTTTTTTGTTTGTCTTTAGTACCAGGACCCTCTGGTGATAATGGCATCAGTGTTACTATGATCTTAGTGGCCTGGATGGTTATTGCATTGATCTTGTTCTTACTGAGACCTCCTAACCTAAGAGGATCAAACCTACCTGGAAAGCCAACCAGTCCTCATAATGTAAGTGTTACAGATTTTAAATGGTTTTGGGTAAGTGAATATATGTGGCCTAAGGCAGGGAAGGACTTTGTTTTGACTAAAATATCTAAATTGGCAAAAGGAACATTTAACTCATAGAGTATTCTACCAGTGTAGTTCTATTAAATCTTGCAGTTTAGAGCTGGGCACGGTAGCTCATGCCTGCAGTCCCAGGACTTTGGGAGGCCAGGGCAGGTGGATCACCTGAGGTCAGGAGTTTGAGACCAGCCTTGCCAACATGTCGAAACCCCATCTCTACTAAAAATACAAAAATCAGCTGGCTGTGGTGGTACGTCCCTGTAATCCCAGCTACTCGGGTGGCTGAGATGGGAGAATCGCTTGAACCCAGGAGTTGGAGGTTACAGTGAGCTACTGCACATTGCACTGTAGCCTGGAGTGACACTCCACACCACTGCACACTGCACTCCAGCCTGGATGACGGAGCAAAACTCCGTCACAAAAAAAAAAAAAAAAAAGAAATTTGTGGTTCCAAGATTTAATTAATGGCTTACTCTTTGTGGAGTTAAATATAGAAAGAAGCAGAGACTAGAAGCCCAAAAACAATTTAAAAATGAATTCCAATTTTTTTTTTTTTTTGAGACAGGGTCTTGTTTTGCCTCCCAGGCTCAAGTTACCCTCCCACCTCAGCCTCCCAAGTAGCTGGGACCACAGACATGCAGTAACACACCTGGCTAGTTTTCTGTGTGTTTTTTTTTTGTAGAGACGGGGTTTTGCCAGGTTGCCCAGGCTTGAATTCCAATCTTTACTCACATGAAAAGCATCAAAAATAATCCATTTTATAACCCACAGCAATATTGCTTAAATCTCAGTTCTCCACTGTCCAGTTCTGTCTGCCTCACAGTTGATCCCTTGCCTCTCATGCTTTCAGCCCCTAAACTTTTAGTAGCTTCAGTTCAAATGTTTGACCCCCTTCTGTCCTACCTATTCAGTAGAGACACTGAGCCTATTTTATTTTATTTTCCTATCCTATTTCTCTCAAACCTGTTTTCCATTTCTGCCTCACAGGAAATCAGCTGACTAGCAAAAGGAGAGTTCGAAATCATTCATGTTGATAAATCTTTTTTTTTTTTTTTTTTGAGACGGAGTTTCGCTCTTGTTGCCCAGGCTGGAGTGCAATGGCGCGATCTCGGCTCACCGCAACCTCCGCCTCCCGGGCTCAGGCAATTCTCCTGCCTCAGCCTCCTAAGTAGCTGGGATTACAGGCACGCGCCACCACGCCCAGCTAGTTTTTTGTATTTTTAGTAGAGACGGGGTTTCACCATGTTGACCAGGATGGTCTCGATCTCTCGACCTCGTGATCCACCCGCCTCGGCCTCCCAAAGTGCTGGGATTACAGGCTTGAGCCACCGTGTCCGGCCCTGATAAATCTTGATAGTCACAATTACAACCATTTTTAGAACCTTCTAAGTTAAAACTGTGATAAAATGACCCAACAGGGAGTTTTCAGTACTATCTTTAATAGAACCTCTGTTGGCCAGGTGTGGTGGCTCACGCCTATAATCGAAGCACTTTGGGAGGCAGAGGCAGAAGGATCACTTTAGCTCAGGAGTTCAAGACCACCCTGGGCAACATGATTTTAGTAGAGACAGAAACCCTGTGGATGTGGTGGCGTGCACCTGTAGTCCCAGCTACTTGGGAGGCTGAGGCATGAGAATTGCTTGAGCTTGGGAGGCAGAGGTTGCAGTGAGCCAAAAAAAAAAAAAAAAAAAAAAGAACCTCTGTTAAAGGATTCCTTTTAGTCCTTTTCAGAACCAGTATTTATGTGTTTTTTTAAATACTGGATTTGAATATTATCTCCTTAAAAATATTTCCATACATATGCGAATTACGTCAATTTAGCCATTCTACAAATATATACATATTTCAAAACCTGTTGTATTTGACAAATATATATAATTTTTGTCAATATAAATAAAATGTTAAAATTTATAATAAAAACTATAAGATGACAGCATCAAAAAATAAAGGAAACTTTTGATAGATTTGCTTGGGTTTTTTTTGTTTTTTGGTTGTTTTTTGAGAGTCTCATTCTGTTGCCCAGGCGGAGTGTAGTGGTACAATCTTGGCTCACTGCAGCCTCTGCCTCCCAGTTTCAAGCAATTTTTCTGCCTCAGCCTCCCGAGTAGCCAGGATTACAGGTACACACTACCATGTCTGGCTAATGTTTGTATTTTTAGTAGAGATGGTATTTCACCATGTTGGCTTGGCTGGTCTCAAGCTCCTGACCTCAGGCACTCCTCCTGCATCGGCCTCCCAAAGTGCTGGGATTACAGGCATGAGCCACTGCGCCTGGCCAGATTCGCTTGTTGAATACCAGATTATCCCACTAATTCTCTTCTCCAACCTTTACCATGTGGAATTGCTAAAGTAATTGTTTCTTTTCTCCAGTGTTGTGGTGTTGATATTAGAAGTTCAGTTAGACTCATTTTTTTATATAAGAGAAAGCAAATGTGCAATGTTAATTGGTCAATGTTTTGTTTTTTTAAGTACTACATTTAGAAATGTAGCACAGAAAGAAAAAATATCAAAAAGAAAAACACATACACACACAAGATATGTAGCATGCTAACTTAAAGAAGGCATTATTAGCACTATATAAAAAGCCTTACGTTTATTTTTGTTTTTTCTTGGAGAAGAGAGTATTTACAAAACAGCTTGCATATTGTCTTGATAACATGTTTATTCCTTAGCCTTTTTTCTTACTTTCTTTGTATAGCTTTGTTACTTTCATATCAAAGAGTAACTTCCTCAATGTTTGGAGCTAAAGAAACAGAACTCTTGCGGGGCATGGTGGCTCACGCCTGTAATACTAGCACTTTGGGAGGCCAAGGTGGGTGGATCACCTGAAGTCGGGAGTTCAAGACCAGCCTGGCCAACATGGTAAAACCCCATCTTAAAAAAAAAGATAAGGCCGGGCGCGGTGGCTCAAGCCTGTAATCCCAGCACTTTGGGAGGCCGAGGCGGGTGGATCACGAGGTCGAGAGATCGAGACCATCCTGGTCAACATGGTGAAACCCCGTCTCTACTAAAAACAAAAAATTAGCTGGGCATGGCGGCACGTGCCTGTAATCCCAGCTACTCAGGAGGCTGAGGCAGGAGAATTGCCTGAACCCAGGAGGCGGAGGTTGCGGTGAGCCGAGATCGCGCCATTGCACTCCAGCCTGGGTAACAAGAGCGAAACTCCGTCTCAAAAAAAAAAAAAAGATAAAAGAAACAGAACTCTTGGCCAGGTGCAGTGACACACCTGTAATCCCAGCACTTTGGGATGCCAAGGCAGGCAGATCATGTCAGGAGATCGAGACCATCCTGGCTAACATGGTGAAGCCTTGTCTCTACTAAAAAGGCAAAAAATTAGCCGGGTGTGGTGGCACGTGCCTGTAAGTCCCAGCTACTCAGGAGGCTGAGGCAGGATAATTGCTTTAACCCAGGAGGCAGAGGTTGCAGTGAGCCGAGATTGCACCACTGCACTCCAGCCTGGATGACAGAGTGAGACTCCATCTCAAAAAAAAAAAAAAAAAAAAAAAAACATTAAAATGATAAGTGCAAGATTATACTCTACTGGACCTTAATTCATTTAGGCCCGTGTTTCTAGAAATAGTAGTTCCAATATCTTAGGAATAAGTGAGAAAATGTATTGAGACTAATTCCAAGTAGAATTATTGATCACCCCCAACTTAGATCTCATGTCAGGGTAAATAAATAAAATCTTGAAGAATCTTAAAAACTGTGATCTTTCCTTTACAGTTCACTTGCTGTCTATTGCAAGTTAACAGAAGTCAATTCGAAGTTGCTTAATCAAAAAAATTCAGAGATAGCATCAGTGTTAAGAAAGTTTAACAATGTATCAAAGACCTAGTTTCTTTCCTCATACCATTGGCTTCATTCCAAGATGGGCTCTTCTTAGGGTCATAGGATGACTGCCAGAAGCAACTGCAGCCACATGCTTTCTTGTGGATATTCAGTATTGAGAAACAGAAGTTCCTACCTTCATTTTAAATATACAGTACTTTGCTTAGCCAATCACTTTAGCAAGAGGGCTGAAGATAGTTTTGTTGGTTTGAAGACCACTCCTCGGGCTAGCAGGAGTGATCGCGTCACTGTTACACAAATTCTTTCTGTCTTTCATACTACAGGGAAAGATGAGACAAATGTTGGAGAATCACAGTGTTCTTGAAGCTAGTGTTCCCTCATGTAAAAACATATGAAAAGTCCAAATAAGCATATAATTGGGGTGGGAGGGTGGGGGCATTGCTGCTCAGTTCTTTCTTACATGTTAAGGTTGGTTGCCCTGGGAATTAATAAGTCAACTTTTTAAAAAGTAATAAAAATTTTTAAATTTTTTAAAAGTCAATTACATAATTTCTTTCTTTCTCATGCCAGGGACAAGATCCACCAGCTCCTCCTGTGGACTAACTTTGTGATCTGGGACGTGAAAATGGTTAACACCTTGCACGACCAAACGAACGAAGATGACCAGAGTACTCTTAACCCCATTAGAACTGTTTTTCCTTTTGCATCTGCGATATGGGATGGTTTGTTTTCATGAGCTTCTAGAAATTTCACTTGCAAGCCTATTTTTGCTTCCTGTGTTATCACTATTCCTATTTACAATATATTTGAGTGAATGATTATATTTTTTAAAAGTTATGGCTTTTTTGGTTGTCCTAAACTTAAACATTCCTCTCATTCTGTTTGTAACTGTGATTAAAATTTTTGTGGTAATTTCTGGCCTGATTGAAGGAAATTTGAGAGCGCTGCATTTATATATTTTAAATAGTTTTGATAGGTTTTTAAATTGCTTTTTTTCATAAGGTATTTATAAAGTTATTTGGGGTTGTCTGGGATTGTATGAAAGAAAATCAGAACCACACTGTATTTACATTTACCTTGGTAGTTTATTTCTGGATGGCAGTTTTCTCTAATTTTTGGGACTGTGGTAGCTCTTGGATTGTTTTGCAAATTACAGCTGAAATCTGTATCATCCATTAAACTGGCTTATGTGGCTGGAATAGGAAAAGAGAAAAAATATATAAAATGGTTGTTTACTAATTTTGTACTCCCATTAAAAATCTCTAATGTTAAGAAAACTTTAAATAAACATGATTGATCAATATGGCAGATGATTTACAGTCCATTATATAACATTTGTAAACCACTCAACACTAGCCTTACAAGGTTCATGAAAGGAGGAAAACATTAATTCTTTCTGCCTTTGCTGACATAATCTATACAGTAATAATAGAAGCTGTAATTTATTTTTAAAATGAGTACCTCTTGGGAAGCTTCTCTTCTGTTATAACTCTTCCCTGTTAAAATCAAAATCTTAGGCCGGATGCAGTGGCTTATGCCTGTAATCCTAGCACTTTGGGAGGCCAAGGCAGGCAGATCACTTGAGGTCAAGAGTTTGAGACCAGCCTGGCCAACATGGTGAAATCCTGTTTCTACTGAAAATACAAAAATTAGCCAGGGGTGGTGTGTGTGCCTGTAATCCAGCTACTTGGGAGGCCGAGGCAGGAGAATCGCTTGAACCCAGGAGGCAGAGGTTGCAGTGAGCCGAGATCACGCCATTGCTCCAGCCTGGGCGACAGATCGAGACTCCCTCTCAAAAAATTTTTTTTTAAATCTTAAAGCTGGCCGGGCGCGGTGGCTCAAGCCTGTAATCCCAGCACTTTGGGAGGCCGAGGCGGGTGGATCACGAGGTCGAGAGATCGAGACCATCCTGGTCAACATGGTGAAACCCCGTCTCTACTAAAAATACAAAAAATTAGCTGGGCATGGTGGCGTGTGCCTGTAATTCCAGCTACTCAGGAGGCTGAGGCAGGAGAATTGCTTGAACCCAGGAGGCGGAGGTTGCGGTGAGCCGAGATCGCGCCATTGCACTCCAGCCTGGGTAACAAGAGCGAAACTCCGTCTCAAAAAAAAAAAAAAAAAAAAAAAAAAAAAAAAAAAAAATCTTAAAGCTATATTAGGGCCTGTTAGGTTATTGACATTTGAATGCCTATTTGCTTATTTACTCCATTGAGTCTTTTGTTACCCTCTGACCTATAAAAAATTTTAATAAATTACTGGTTTACTCAAAGGGAAAAGGAGGAAAATGAGAAACAAGCATCTTTTCTTCACCCCTTATCTCATTCCTGTTTGGTAATAGGATGAATTGGGTGGGAATGAATATTAAATATGAGAGAAATTTTGAAATATATAAAAAAGTAAAAGGTTGTATTGTTTTGTTCAGTTTGAAATAAAGTGAATACCAAAAGCACTTAAAAATGTCTGCGTGGGCCTGGCACGGTGGCTCACGCCTGTAATCCCAGCACTTTCGGAGGCCAAGGCAGGTGAGCCACCTGAGGTCAGGAGTTTAAGACCAGCCTGGCCAACATGGTGAAAGCCCATCTCTACTAAAAATACAAGAATTAGCCAGGTGTGCTGGTGTGTGCCTGTAATCCCAGCTACTAGGGAGGCTGAGGCAAGAAATCGCTTGAACCCAGGAAGTGGTTGCAGTGAGCTGAAATCGTGCCACTGCTCTCCAGCCTGGGTAACAGAGTGAGACTCCATCTCAATAAAATAAATAAAAATTAAAATGTCTGTATGACCCATGTGGTTATGAAATTTTTTCCTAGCAAATGATTGCAGATGATTTATGGGGGCTAGAAGATATTTTGCTATCAATGTAAAGATTTTTTTTCCTTAGGTCAGTCTATTCACTGTATAGATCTGGTAAATTACTTGTATGAACTAAATAAATTCTCTGTATCACTGTACTGTTTAATAGTCTCTCGTACAATTGTGATACTCATAAGGTATTTTCCCCCTTTATTGTGATTACATTCTAGACCATAAACTTTGTAAGGGCATTTTTTCATTATAGAATCTAATATTGATTGCTTGAATTCCTCCTTGTACATCTTGGCTTTGTGCTCAATTTCCTGAAATAATATAACCAACTCTAAATTACTTGTGTTAATGGATGGGTAAGTTAAATCCTGGATAAATTAACCCCACAGAATAAAGGTTTTTCCTCTTGCTGGGGCCTACTGGAAGCCTTCCTAACTCTATAGCTGGTAAAGTAGAGCAGAAAGAGCCAGAATGGCTTAAGATAGAGCTAAATCCCTATAGGATTCCATTTTCTGCCTTTGCCTCTTGAACTTTGAAGGCTTGCCCATATATCCTCACAATCTGTTCTCTGAGCTGCTAGAAGGCCACTCCCTGATAAGAGATACTGATGTAGTCACTGAATCTGTGGCTCACAAATCATTGAAAATTGGCTGTGTGGGTTGGGCACAGTGACTCATGCCTGTAATCCCAACACTTGGAAGGCTGAGGCGAATGGATCACTTGAGGTCAGGAGTTTGAAACTAGCCTGGCCAACATGGTGAAAACTTATCTCTACAAAAAATACAAAAATCAGCTGGGTTTGGTGGCACCTGCCTGTAGTCTCTGCTACTCCGGAGGCCAAAGCAGTAGAATTGCTTAAGCCCGGGAGGCAGAGGTTGCAGTGAGCCAAGATTGCATCACTGCACTCCAGCCTGAGAGACAGAATGCGACCCAGTTTAAAAAAAAAGAATTGGCTTTAGTGGAAGAAGTGGCTGAAACTTGGATACAGAATGTCTCATATTAGACACCTGAAAATCTGAATTCTTGTTTTGAAATGGAGTTTTGCTCTTTCACCCAGGCTGGAGTGAAGTGGTATAATATTGGCTCACTGCAACCTCCACCCGCTGGTCCAAGCGATTTTCCTTCCTCAGCCTTCTACTCTGAGTAGCTGGGATTATAGGAGCCCACCACCATGCCTGGCTAATTTTTGTATTTTTAGTAGGGACGGGGTTTTGCCATGTAGGCCAGTCTGGTCTTGAACTCCTGACCTCAGGTGATCCACTCGCCTTGACCTCTCACAGTGCTAAGATTACAGACATGAGCCACTGCACCCAGCTGGAAAATCTGGATTCTTATTCTTAGTTCTTCATTTCTGTCACATGCAATTAATTGACATTTCGTCTACATGTATTAGCCTTTTCCTACATGAACCATGTATTTACTTAGTAACCATGAAGTATTTAGTGTTGGATTTCTTGTAAAATTTCTCTGCATTCCTGAGACAGTGTACATACATAAAATATTCTTGTTGACCTAGTAATTTATATTGTTGAAGCTTCTACCTGTGGCCTTTTTATTGAGCACACTCTTAATCATCATTTGGCTTGTAAACATTCACCTGAACTGTGGCTACAATCCTTTTTAAATAATCTGGGAAAAAGGAAAAATAAAGCTTACATTTTCACAGTTTTGGCTCTTAAACACATTCCACAAATGTCATTAAAAATTTGTTTTAGGTCAGTCATGGTGGCTTATGCCTATAATCCCAGCAGTTTGAGAGGCTGAGGCAGGAGAATTGCTTGAGCCCAGGAGTTTGAGACAAGCCTGGGCAATATAGCAAGACCCTGTCTCTACCAGAAAAAAAAAAGTTTATTTTGTTTTAGAGTCACTTAATGTATTTTTATGCACAAAAATGGTGGAAGGTTTTGTTTTTGTTTTTTGCTTTCCATGTGGGAAAGGTTAACACTGGAACTGTTTCTAGTAAAAGATTTTTTTCAGGTTGGGTATGGTGGCTCGTGCCTGTAATCCCAGCACTTTGGGAAGCCAAGGCAGGTGGCTTACCTGAGGTTAGGAGTTCAAGACCAGCCTGGCCAGCATGGAGAAACCCTGTCTCTACTAAAAATACAAAAGTATCCAGCTGTGATGGTGCATGCCTGTAATCCCAGCTACTTGGAGGCTGAGGCAGGAGAATCGCTTGAATCTAGGAGGCCTGGAGGTTGCAGTGAGCCAAGATAATGCCATTGCATTCCATCCTGGGCAACAAGAGTGAAACTCTGGCTCAAAAAAGAAAAAGAAAGAAAAGAATTTTCTTCATGTTACCTATCCAAGCACTGTCCCATGGTCAGCAAGTCACATTTTACAATGTGGATTTTCCAAAAAAATTATTGAGTACAGCCATTGTATGGCTTCTTTTAGTGTCTTTCTGTTATGTGGTAGTGTTATGGAATTACCAGTACCTTAAATTTTCAAAGGAACCTTGGAAGTCTATCACTCTAAATGAAAGTCTGTCACTCTACATAAATATGTGCTCAAATTTGACCAACTCAGTTTAAGACACAAAACAGTAATTTGAAGAACAAAAAATGAAGAGTTTACAATTAATGGGTTAAATTTTTGTTGTTGCAATAGTAAGTTTAGTCCTCTTATATTTCTAAATGAAAAACGATAGGTATTTGTTACCATGTGTGAAGATTACTTTGTTAAAAGCAAAGTGTGATGTGCTAAATGTTCATTACTGTTTTTATATGTTTAAATCATGCCAAACAAAAATCATGTCTGTGCCATTCAGGGTCTATTGTTAGTCTTTTTCTGAGTACTTGGATTGGGATAAAGGGCTTGTACTATGCACTTTTTATTAATGAATAAATAGAAAACATTAGTAACACTTTTTGTTTTCTGTTTGGCTTTTGTGGGAAGAGAAGCAAGCATCTTTTGCTTAGTAGGTGTTAACATCCTATATTAAACAATGTCTTTGTAAGACATAACTAAAGACATTCCTAAGACAGAACTTAAGTTTTAAGAAAAGTTGTGAGAAAAATACTTATAAAATATGCAGTATGGGGCCAGTATTCAGAAGTAGAGCTTCTCTCTTGGAAATTAGATTGCAGTCACATTTCTTTGGTTATTTTCTTTCTCTCTCTCTTCCTAGAATACCAGGTAAAATAGACATTTGCTTTGAGGGACTAATATCCAATACTGTTAATTATTTGAGCAGACATACCTTCCTCAAAAGGAGCTAGACCTGTCACTGTACTGAAGTCACAAGAGAAAATTTACTTCTGTGACCTGGAATGTGTCCGGACATTAAATATCATTAAATACTCATATACATGTAAAAATAGTAACATTGCTCTGGCATGATTTTGATGTCAGTGTATATATAATAACTTAAGTGTTATTTAAAATAGATAAATTTGTGAAATAACAATTTCCAGGAGACGGTCAACTTTTTATGGTTCAATCTAAAGATAGTCATGTACATGTCAATGGATATCTGAATGATCAGTAAAACTTTATTAAATGACTCT